ACACGGTGAAACCGTCTCTACAAAAAAAAAATTATCTCGGCTTGGTTGCACATGCCTGAGTCCCAGCTACTTGGGAGGCTGAGGTAGGAGGATTGCTTGACCCCAGGAGGTTGAGCTATCATCACGCCACCACACTCTAGCCCAGGGTGAGAGAGCAAGACACTCTAAAAAATAAATAAATAAATAAAAATAAAATAACTGTAAGTACAAAAAAAAAGTATCTGCAAGGTCTACAGGAATAGAAGAATTCCAGAAGGATATACACAAACTATTAACAATAGTTACCTCAAAGGTAGGGTGTTAAAAAAAAAAAGTATTATTCAAAACAGATGTTTTTGAGTTTAAAAAGAGTATTAATTATACCGGGACATCAGCTGACAAGGGTAGCAGAACAGGAAAGCTTGCCATCTCCCTTAGGCTTTACTTCTGTAATTTCATAGACCCAGTCACCAGTCGTTATTCCCTTTCAGTTTATGGACATTTAAATTTTGCACTAATAATCTGTTATTGACATACTGATGTTTATACAGGTTACTATAGGCAACATTTCCAATCCAAGTGCTTCTAACAGCCTAAGAAAGTGCTTTTATGCTCTAAATGAAATTGGGGAGAAAGGAGGAAAGTACAGTCCAGAGACCATCTACAGAACAATGTATCTTTAGAATCCAAGTTTTTTTGCTTTTGTTTTTGAGACAGAGTCTCGTTCTGTCACTAGGCTGGAGTACAGTGGCACGATCTCGGCTCACCACAACCTCTTCCTCCCAGGTTCAAGAAATTCTCCTGCCTCAGCCTCCCCTGTAGCTGGGTTCACAGGCGTGAGCCACCACACCTAGCTAATTTTTTTTTTTTTGTATTTTTAGCAGAGATGGGGTTTCAACACGTTGGCCAGGCTAGTCTTCAACTCCTGACCTGAGATGATGTGCCCACCTCAACCTCCCAAAGTGCTGGGATTACAGACGTGAGCTACCACGCCTGTCTCCAAGTTTTTTTTGTGGGTTGTTTTTTTTTTTTGAGACAGAGTCTCCCTCTGTCGCCCAGGCTGGAGTGCAGTGGTGCGATCTCGGCTCACTGCAAGCTCCGCCTCCCAGGTTCATGCCATTCTCCTGCCTTAGCCTCTCGAGTAGCTGGGACTATAGATGCCCGCCACCACGCCTGGCTAATTTTTTGTATTTTTAGTAGAGATAGGGTTTCACTGTGTTAGCCAGGATGGTCTCGATCTCCTGACCTCGTGATCCACCTGCCTCAGACTCCCAAAGTGCTGGGATTACAGGCATGAGCTACCACGCCTGGCCCCTGTCTCCAAGTTTTATCTTGAAAATTAAATTCTGGGACTTATTCCATAAGGTAACAGGTTCCATTTTAATATAAAAACAACCTTCACTGCTGTCTTAAATAATATTCATAGTATGAATACCTATGACCTTACAGGAAAAAATACTTTTATGATTTAGCACAGGGGCTGCAAACTATAGCCTGTGGGCCAAAGCTGGCCTGCTGTCAGTTTTTATACTGCCTGTGAGCTAAGAATGAATTTCGCTTTCTTTTTTTTTTAACATTGTCTTGCTCTTGTTGCCCAGGCTACAGTGCAATGGCACAATCTCAGCTCACCACAACCTCCACCACCCAGGTTCAAGCGATTCTCCTGCCTCAGCCTCCGGAGTAGCTGGGATTACAAGCATGTGACACCATGCCCGGCTAATTTTGTATTTTTAGTAGATACATGGTTTCTCCATGTTGGTCAGGCTGGTCTCGAACTCCTAACCTCAGATGACCCACCCGCATCAGCCTCTCAAAGTGCTGGGATTACAGGCGAGAGCCACTGTGCCAAGCCTATGATTTTTGCATTTTTAAAAGGTTAAAAATATCTGAAGAATAATACTTTGAGACATGTAAACATTACATTAAATTCAAATTCCAACCAGATGCAGTGACTCATGCCTGTCATCTCAGCACTTTGGGAGGCCTAAGTGGGCAGCCTGCTTGAGGCCAGGAGTTTGAGACTAGCCTGGGCAACATAGTGAGAACCCCGTCTCTACAAAAAATTTAAAAATTAGCCAGGCGTGGTGGTGCACACCTGTAATCCCAGCTACTCAGGAGGCTGAGGCAGAAGGATTGCTTAAACCCAGGAGTTCAAGGCTGTTGTGGGCTACGATTGCACCACTGCACTCAGCCTGGGCAACATAGTGAGAACCTGTCCCCCCAGCCCAAAAAGAAATTATCACTATGCAGGAAGTAATGAATAAAAAGAAAAAAAATCTTCAAATTCCAGTGTCTATAAAGTCTTATTGAAACAGACACATTCATTCACTTACCTATTATCTATGACTGTTTTTGTGCTACAACAGGAAAACTGAGTAATGAGTAACTGGGACAGAGACTGTATGGCCTACAAAACCAAAAACATTTGGTTAAGACCTTCACAGAAAAGGAACACTGGTCAGGGATGATGGTGCATGCCTACAGTCCCCGCTGCTAGGGAGGCTGAGGCGGGAAGATGGCTTAAGTCCAGGAGTTCAAGACCAGCTTGGGCAACAAAGCAAGACCCCTATCTGAAAAAAAAAAATTAAAAAGAAAAGGTCTGCTGACCCCTGGCTTGGCCTATATTAGTTCAAACTAATCGTAAGTCCCCATTTAGAGACATGTGCAGTGTGGTTACAGCACAGTTCCCAGTACAACTTAACCTAGTAAAGCCTCAAATTTCCTAATTTACAAAGTGAGAACAATGACACTTAACTCAGAAGGTTATTGTGAAGATTAAATGAAACTTGGCTCATAGTAAGCACTCAAACTTCAACTGCTATTATATCTTTTTTTTTTTTTTTTTGAGATCGAGTTTCTGCTCTTGTTGCCCAGGCTGGAACGCAATGGCGCGATCTTGGCTCACTACAACCTCCACCTCCCATATTCAAGCAATTCTCATGCCTCAGCCTCCCAAGTAACTGGGATCACAGGCATGCGCCACCACACCCAGCTAATTTTGTATCTTTTGTAGAGACAGGGTTTCGCCATGCTGCCCAGGCTGATCTTGAACTCCTAACCTCAGGTGATCTGCCCGCCTTGGCCTCCCAAAGTGCTGGGATTACAGGCATGAGCCATAGCGCCCAGCCTAGATTTTTTTTTTCTTTTAAGAGATAGGGTCTCGGGCCAGGCAGAGTGTCTCATGCCTGTCCAGCATTTTGGGAGGCCAAGGTGTGAGAATCACTTGAGGCCCAAGTTCAAGACTAGCCTGGGCAATACAGGAGACACTATCTCTTGAAAGAGAGAACAAACGAACATGACGGACCAACAGACAGACAGGGGGTCTCACTATGTTGCCCAGGCTGGTCTTGAGCTACTGGCCTCAAGTGATCTCCTTCCTCCTGCCTCAGTCTCCGTAAGTGCTAGGATTATAGGCTTGAACCACTGTGCCTGGGAAGATTTTTGTTTTACGATACTTCTTAACACTACAAATGAATGTATTACCTCAATCTTCACTTCAGTGAGAAGCTAATGATTTCATCCTAACACTTTATCACCTTTCAAAAGCTTCTGCATAATCTTTCGAATGCTGGAAACCCACACATTTCTAAGAATGTCCCCTGTATTTAAAAAATCTTTAGGCTGGGTGTGGTGGCTCACACCTATAATCCCAGTACTTTAGGAGGCTGAGGCAGGTGCATCACCTGAGGTCAGGAGTTCGAGACCAGCCTGGCCAACATGGCAAAACCCCGTCCTTACTAAAAATACAAAAATTAGCCAGGCGTGGTGGTGGGCACCTGTAATCGCAGCTACTCAGGAGGCTGAGGCAGGGAGGATTGCTTGAACTCGGGAGGTGGAGGTTGCCATGAGCTGAAATCCTGCCACTGCACTCCAGCCTGGACAACACAGCAAGACTCCAAAAAAAATATTTAAAAGTTCAAAACTGTATTGTTATGGAAACATTGTTAAAATGTGTTGTCACTCTGCTAGTTGCACTTAAGTACACTTAGTGAATACTTAATACTGCCTGCCAGGAATTATGTTAAATATATATTATCTAATTTTCACAATGACCTTGACAAAGTAGGCACTATAATCTCATTTTACAGAGAGATACAAAACTCATAGATGATCTAAATGAATTTGGCGAGAAAGGAGGTGAACTCCTTTCATAGAAGTTTCATATCTCTCTGTAAAATGAGATTATAGTACCTACCTTGTAGATTTATTGAAGTTTCTTCCTGCAAAGCTAAATAGCAATAATTTTATTTTTCCAGGAGCATATTTGAAAAATATTTCTTGCATTCTTGTTACAGCCTTATTTTCTACACATCACAGGAAAGCAATTTTGAACTTACAACTATAGCTTATATTCTAAAGGTCAAACAGTTGATCAATGAAAGAGCCAGAATTCAATCACAAGTCTCACTCCCAGTCTACCTGAATGTGTTAAACCGCACGATTGAACACGTGTATTAAAATGGTCAGCAGAGGCAGGAATTTCATTCTCTGGTATTTCAATATGTTCATTAAAAATGCCAGCTGACTTGCTGTTTTTAGGTAGAACTTTCAAGCCAGTGAATGGATTTTAAAGCAGTCCTGGGGAGGAGTGCCCTGAATAATGACATTTAGGTCAACCATACTGCATATACAACGGTCCCATAAGATGATAACACTACATTTTCAGCCAGGCACAGTGGCTCACGCCTGTAATCCCAGCACTTTGGGAGGCCAAGGCGGGTGGATCACCTGAGGTCAGGAGTTCAAGACCAGTTTGACCAACATGGTAAAACCCCGTTTCTACTAAAAATACAAAATTAGCTGAGCATGCTGGTACACGTCTGTAATCCCAACTACTTGGGAGGCTGAGGCAGGAGAATCGCTTGAGCCTGGGAGACAGAGATTGCAGTGAGCTGAGGTCGCGCCACCGCATTCCAGCCTGAGCAACAAGGGTGAAACTCCATCTCAAAAAAAAAAAGAAAAAAAGTATTTTCACTGTATCTTTGCTGTGTTTAGATATGTTTAGATACAGTAACACTTACCATTGTGTTCCAGTTGTCTACAATGTTCAGTACAGTAATAGGCCGTGTAGTTTTGCAGCCTAGGAGCAACAGACTGTACCACAGGGCCTCGGTAGGTAGTAGGATATCCCATCAAGGTTTGTGTGCACTCTGCAATGTTCACACAGCACACGTTTCTCAGAACGCATCCCCACCACTAAGTGGCAAATAACTGTATAGAGTGAAAGACTCATCAGATTTCATCATGTTCAAACTGATAACCATTTCAGATAATTGTGGAAAGAGCTATTAACAAAGCATGTTTCCTAACTCAGTTGACAAATAGGTTCACCTTGTCCAAATCCTAAATGTCACTATTGGAAAGCCATATTTTTATACATACTGACACACCAAGAACACATCTGGCTGGAACAAAATATTGCTTCTGAGAAAAGACACATAAAGGTCATATGAGAACTGTCAGAAAAGAATTCCTTTGACATCTATCCTTCCTTGTCTAGGGAGAAATGGTAGTATTCCAGGCTTAGCTGTCTTCTACTTGAAAGATGGCCACAATCTGGAGCTACCTTAACTGAAGCCAGGGAATGAACATCCATTTCCTAGGAGGCCCATTTAGCAGAGACACAATCAGAGCAGGGAGAATTGCTTGGGGAGAGGAAGGCAATGAGAAGGAAAGGCTGGCCACTGATTTGAGCATTCACAGAGCCCCGAAGAATGCAGCAGGGAAAACTATTTTAGAGCAAACCCCTCCTGATTTTGCAGGTACCACATAGCAAAAGCAAAAAGCATTCTTTCGAGTGAACTAAACAGAAAGGCTATTTAAGATGTATGATTTAATCCAAAGGTTAAAAGAATGCATTTATTACTTGTAGATTCAAACAGACATTACTCAGAACTTAAGTTCATTCTAACTCTTGCCCAATTCTCCCTTCTCAGGGGTTACATTTTCTTTCTTCGGGAATGTTTTTTATTTTCACTATTTCTTATTTTTATTTCATTTTATTTTATTTTTCAAACGGAGTTTCACTCTTGTCACCCAGGCTGGAGTGAAGTGGCATGATCTCGGCTCACCGCAACCTCCGCCTCCCAGGTTCAAGCAATTCTCCTACCTCAACCTCCCAAGTAACTGGGATTATAGCTGCACACCACCAAGCCCAGCTAATTTTTCTATTTTTAGTAGAGATGGGGTTTTGCCATGTTGGCCAGGCTGGTCTCAAACTCTCAGGTGATCCACCCACCTTAGCCTCCCAAAGTGCTGGGATTACTCGTGTGAGCCACTGCACCCAGCCATAATCAGTATATTATTATCAATTATATGCACAAAGGGCATCCAGAATATTTGGAATCAACCTTATGATAATGTGTGAGAAAAGAGGAGAAGACGAGAAGCCAAAGCCTAAATTTTACTTCTGATGACATCATTTTACTCATCACGTAATCTTAGGTATAACATAACCTTTCTAAACCTTAATTTCCGCATCTACAAAATGCAGATGACACCTGCACTTTGTTTCCTTCAGAGTTATAAAGCTCAAAAGAGATCAAATATGTGAAAGCACAATGAAGTCTGCAAAGAACACAAATATGTTAGCCATTATTATTGAGCTTTTTTTTGAGACAGAATCTCACTCTGTCATCCAGGCTGGAGTGCAGTGGTGTGATCTCAGCTCACTGCAACCTCCGCCTTCCAGGTTCAAGCAATTCTTCTGCCTCAGCCTCCAGAGTAGCTGGGACTATACGCGCACGCCACCATAACCAGCTAATTTTTGTATTTTTAGTAGAGACAGGGTTTTGCCATGTTGGTTGGGCTGGTCTCGAACTCCTGACCTCATGATCTGCTCCCCCCACCCCCTTGCCTCCCAAAGCACTGGGATTACAGGCATGAGCCACCGCACCTGGCCTATTACGGAGCTTTTTATCTTGACAGATCTCTTTTGTTTGTGTGTGTATGTGTGTGTGTGTGTGTGTGTGTGTGTGTGTGTGTATTTGTGTTGTTGCTGTTTTTGAGACGGACTCTTGCTCTGTCACCCAGGCTGGAGTGCAGTTGCGCGATCTTGGCTCACTGCAACCTCCATCTCCCGGGTTCAAACAATTCTCTTGCCTCAGCTCGTGAGTAGCTGAGATTACAGGTGCCTACCACCATGCCCAGCTAAGTTTTGTATTTTTAGTAGAGGTGAGGTTTCTCCATGTTGGCCAGGCTGGTTTTGAACTCCTGACCTCAAGTGATCCCCCATCTCAGCCTCCCAAAGTGCTGGGATTACAAGTGTGAGCCACCACGCCCAGCCTACTGTTTATATTTCTAAAGAGAAATCATGGCATATGGACAAACCACCGACTGGAACTTCTTAGATGACTCCAGCTCACAAGGTCACACCACAGTGGGAAGCAAGCCTTCAATTCTCTATCACTTACAAAAGGCCAGATAAGGCTTAAGTTCCAGCACCAGCCAACCCCTGTCATCTCCAGGGAATCTATATTATAAAATGTCTAGCCTCAACAAAGGTCCTGAGTGTTGTTTCAAATTTCACTGCCAATTTTCACTAAATATTTCTGATACAAGAAAAACAGGCCAAGCCTGGTGGCTCACACTTATAATCCCAGCACTTTGGGAGGGTGAGGCAAGAGGATCACTTGAGACCAGGAGTTCAAAACCAGCCTGGGCAACATAGTGAGACCTTGTCTCTACAAAAAAAATAAAAATAAAAATAAAAATTTGTAGTTAATAATTTTTCTATTTTGTTGAAAATAAATCTGCCTCATGATAAAAGAGTTACATAATTCCAAGAAAAAAAAAACACAGAAAATCTAAAAGTTGGTTGTTATCCTTACACTGAAAGGCAGCAATACAGAAAATTCTATCAATGTATCTCATCAAAAACATTAAACAGCCAGGCGGCGGGGGGCTCATGCCTGTAATCCCAGCACTTTGAGAGGCGGAGGCAGGCGAATCACCTGAGGTCAGGAGTTCAAGACCAGCCTGACCAACAAGGAGAAACCTTGTCTCTACTAAAAATACAAAAATTAGCCAGGCATGGTGTCGCGACGCCGTCTGTAATCCCAGCTACTCAGGAGGCTGAGCAGGAGAATCGCTTGAAACACAGGAGGCAAGTGAGCCAAGATCGCGCCATTGCACTTCAGCCTGGGTGACAAGAGCGAAACTCCATTTGAAAAAAAAAAAAACCACATTATTAACACCAACCTGAAGCCAAAAAGAGAAAAAAGCAAGAGACTCCCTCTTAGTAACAAATGAGTTAAGCTAGTTGATAGAAGTTGCATTAACATACAGGAGGGCAGGAGAAACACTTGGTGATCACACTTCGCCCTTTGATGTCAATTTTACTAATTTAGGGCCAAGTGCAGTGGCTCAGCTGCTATAATCTCGCAGTTTGGAGCGAGGCAGGCAGGATCCACCTGAGCTCACTTCGACACAGCAGCCTGGGCAAACGTGGCAAAACCTATCTCTACAAAAAATACTATGCAGATTAGCAGGCGGTGCACGCACCTGTGGTCCAAGCTACTAGAGATCGCTGACGGTGGAGAGGATCACTTAATCAGGCGGAAGCAGAAGGTGAAAGTGGTTGACGGATCCGCCCCATCCCCGGCCTGGGCGACAGAGTGAGACCCTGTCTCAAAAAAATAAATATACATAAAATAAAATTAAATGAAATAAAATAATAAAAATTTAAAAAGCTAGTTCTTCTTTCAGAAGAAAAAGGAGGAGGCTGGGCACAGTGGCTCACGCCTGTGCAATCCCAAGACTTCTGGATGAGGCCCTAAGTGGGCCAGATCACGAGGTAAGAAATTGAGACCATCCCTGGCCAACATGGTGAAAGCCCCTGTCTCTCTAAAAATAGGAAAAATTAGCTGGGGTGCGGTGCGCTGCTGTAGTACCCAGCCACTCGAGGCTGAGGCAGGTGAAGGAATCGTTAAACCCGGGAAGGCAAGGTTGCAGTAGCCAAGGACTGCACCCACTGGCACTACCCATGCCTGGCGACAGAGCAAGATTCGCCGTCTCAAAAAAAAAAAAAAAAAAAAAAAAAAAAAGGAGGGATAAAACTGCCTGGTTCCAATTTCAAGTCATCCCCACCCCCCTTTTTTTTCCGCCAAAAATGCCTGAGCTCATTCAAGAATCTTCTGGTTATCATGAAATTTACTACCTTAAATTCATAGGATTAAAACTGAGCAACCCCCAAATTGAACAAATATTTTCTGAGTTCAACCAGAGATGCTGAATCTAATTACCTCCCCTAGCACTTAACCTGCAAAATGTTAGTTTTCTTCCTCAGACTTGGAAAAAAAAAGCACATGAACAAAATTTCAGAGTGAGCTTCCACGCTCAAACAGAAACCTGATGAAAAAGGAAAGTAGGTGTCTCTTTATCCCACAACATTGTTTGGGACAATTTTTTAACAACATGGTTTTAAGTTGTTTAAACATTCCTACTAGTGTAAATATCGAAACTAAATCTTAACACTTCGTCAAATTATTTTTTGTTTGTTTTGGACGGATCTCCTTCCATTTGCCCCAAGCGGGAGTGTCCGTGGCGCGGATCTCGGTCCACTGCAAGCTCGCCGTCCAGGTTCACACTATTTCCTGCTCAGCCTCCCGAGCAGCTGGGACTACAGGGCCACCCACCTCGCCGGATAATTTTCCTGGCATTTTTCAGTAGGCCGTGGGTTTCACCGTGTTAGCCAGGACGGTCTCGATCTCCTGACCTTGTGATCCGGCCACCTTGGCCTCCCGAAGTGCTGGGATTACAGGCGTGAGCCACCGCGCCCGGCCAAATCATTTTTTTTTTTTTAAAGGAGACAGGATCTCGCTGTGTTGTCCAGGCTAGCAAGCTCAGCGGCCCATCACAGGAGTTTGGAACTCCCGGGCTGAAGGAATCCTCCCTCCTCAGTCTCTAGAGTCGCTAGAATTACAGGCGCACGCCACCGTGTCCGGCCAAAGTGTTTTTTTTTTTTAAGAGATGGTGGTCTCACTATGTTGTCCAAGCTGGCCTCGAACTCCTGAGACCAAGCGATCCTCCTGCCTTGGCCTCCCAAAGTGCTGGGATTACAGGCGTGAGCCACGGAGCCCGGCCAAAGTGTTTTTTTTTTTTAAGAGATGGTGGTCTCACTATGTTGTCCAAGCTGGCCTCGAACTCCTGAGACCAAGCGATCCTCCTGCCTTGGCCTCCCAAAGTGCTGGGATTACAGGCGTGAGCCACGGAGCCCGGCCAAAGTGTTTTTTTTTTTTAAGAGATGGTGGTCTCACTATGTTGTCCAAGCTGGCCTCGAACTCCTGAGACCAAGCGATCCTCCTGCCTTGGCCTCCCAAAGTGCTGGGATTACAGGCGTGAGCCACGGAGCCCGGCCAAAGTGTTTTTTTTTTTTAAGAGATGGTGGTCTCACTATGTTGTCCAAGCTGGCCTCGAACTCCTGAGACCAAGCGATCCTCCTGCCTTGGCCTCCCAAAGTGCTGGGATTACAGGCGTGAGCCACGGAGCCCGGCCAAAGTGTTTTTTTTTTTTAAGAGATGGTGGTCTCACTATGTTGTCCAAGCTGGCCTCGAACTCCTGAGACCAAGCGATCCTCCTGCCTTGGCCTCCCAAAGTGCTGGGATTACAGGCGTGAGCCACGGAGCCCGGCCAAAGTGTTTTTTTTTTTTAAGAGATGGTGGTCTCACTATGTTGTCCAAGCTGGCCTCGAACTCCTGAGACCAAGCGATCCTCCTGCCTTGGCCTCCCAAAGTGCTGGGATTACAGGCGTGAGCCACGGAGCCCGGCCAAAGTGTTTTTTTTTTTTAAGAGATGGTGGTCTCACTATGTTGTCCAAGCTGGCCTCGAACTCCTGAGACCAAGCGATCCTCCTGCCTTGGCCTCCCAAAGTGCTGGGATTACAGGCGTGAGCCACGGAGCCCGGCCAAAGTGTTTTTTTTTTTTAAGAGATGGTGGTCTCACTATGTTGTCCAAGCTGGCCTCGAACTCCTGAGACCAAGCGATCCTCCTGCCTTGGCCTCCCAAAGTGCTGG